GGGAAACTAGCATGGCAGCTGTATCCATAGCTGTCCAAACTTGGAAGCAGCCAAGGAACCTATGGGTGGATAAACAAACCATAATATGCCTCTACGATGGAATTTTAGCCAGAGATAAAAAGAAATGAGCTGGGGCCAGCGCTGTGGCATAGTAGGTTAAGCCTCCACTTGTAGTAGCTGGCATCCCATATGAGTGCCGGTTTGAGTCCCGGCTGCTCCACTTCCAGTCCAGCTGCCTGCTAATGTGCCTGGGAAAGCTGTGGAGGATGGCCCCTGCACCCACATGGGAGACCCAGAAGAAGCGTCCCAGGCCCATATGGGATGCTGGCATCACAGGTGGTGGCTTTATCTGCTATGCCACGGCTCCAGCCCTCAAATCCACTTTTTTCCCACAAGTTTTTTGAAGTCCCCTTGTACAGGGGGACTCTCAGTACTTTGGTTAAATTGTTTTGTAAACCTAAAACCACTCTAAGAAATAATTCCACTAATCAAGCATAAAGCTTTTTTTAGAATGAGGCCCTTTGTATTTCCTGAAGAGTAGATGTCAGGGGCTTGCACAGCTGGGGAACGGCATTGCCAGAACCTTCTGGGCCCTCTGTGGGCCTTTCCCAGTGGGATCCTCCTACCCCACCCACAAGAGACCGTCATGATCATGAATCCCGTGCCCACAGCTGCTTTTACTTGCTATGGCTGCACGATCACCATTGTCTATCTGTAAGCGGTATTTTATTTAGCTTCTCCAATGTTTGGATCGAAGGTCCTTGGAAAACCACCTTGGGAATTCACCCACACTTCAAGCGTCTGCTCATCCTTATGGTGTCCTGACTCAAGCCCACGTGTCCTGCTGGGGCTCGCTGACTCCTGCAGCTCCTTCCCTGGAACATGCCATCGCGTCCCTGTCCCTTCTGCTGCTCAGGGACACTCGCCATGCTCCCAGGGTCTGGCCACTAGGAACACCTGTGCCAGGGTCTCCCTGGGCACACGCGGGAGCCATTCCTAGGGATGCGCCAGGGAATGGCTGGGCTATGGGGCATGTGTGTCTTTGACTTTGCTCACACTCAGCTGCTTTCCACGTGCCGGTGTCCCAGCCTTTGCCCCCCCCACCACCAGGGGTGGGGGACTCAACCAAGCAGCCTGCTCTCCAGATGCACCGGGCCCCGCCCGAGCGTCCTTCCCACCTCCACGGCTGTCTACTGGGAAGGCTTCCCCGACCCTTTGAGGCCAAGGTAGCACCCCCTCCTTGGGGCCCCCAGCACCGTTACTCCCCGAGCAGCAGGGACTTGGTTCCCCTGCTCCCCTTCTACCCGGGGGGCCCTTCAAGGCAGGGCAGCATCTGGTTCACTGCTGTTCCTCTGGAGCCCAGCACAGGGCCTGATGCATAGCCAGCTTGCACTGTGCATTTCTTATACTTTGTTGCATAAATGAGTGTGACACTGGAGTCAGCGTGGGGGCACAGGGGGAGGCTGGGGGTGCTTAGCTAGAGCTGGAAGCTGGGCAGTGGCACAGAGGCCGTGGGGTCAGGCCCTAGGGCCACAGCCAAATGGCCAGCCTGCTCTGAGGGCCCCTGAAGGGGGCAGAGAGGTGAGACTAGAACTCGGGACCTTCCTTGCCTTCCTGTCAGAGGTATAGGCAGGACAGCAGGGTGGTGGAAATCCAAGCGCCTGAGTTGCAATGCAGGTTCCAGCACTCACTGGCTTTGTGTCTGTGTCTGTGGGTGAAACACGGAGCCCCTCTGTCTCCCCATCTATGAAAGAGGGAGGGGGTGAGAGTTCCTACCATACTATAAAATGGCTATAAAATGGAATTACAGGGCCCAGCACTGTGGCATCGTGGGCTAAGCCCCTGCCTGTGGTGCCAGCATCCCATATGGGCGCTGGTTCTAATCCCGGCTGCTCCTCTTCCAATCCAGCTCTGTGCTATGGCCGGGGAAAGGAGCAGAACTTGGCCCAAGTGCTTGGGCCCCTGCACCCACTTGGGAGACCCAGAAGAAGCTTCTGGCTCCTGGCTTCAGATTGGCCCAGCTCCGGCTATTTGGGGCGTGAACCAGTGGATGGAAGACCTTTCTGTCTCTCCCTCTCTCTGTAACTCTCCCTCTCAAATAAATACATCTTTAACAAAAAGATGGAATTACATAGGTTTTTCCTTGTGAGACATTTATGACAGTCCCTGCACATGACAAGGGCTGCGTCTGTCTTCATTACGTAAAAACGAGTGAGGTTGTGCAGCTGGACGGCCTCCCGGGGACTCCTGTGAGCCGTCGCTCGGGGAGGGTCCCTGCCAGGGGCCCTTGCTGTCACGGCCCAGCCCTCGGTCCTGCTGCTGCACACAGAAGTCAGGTGCTCTCTGCTCCCCACAGCCTGGCAGCCCCTGAGGGCGAGGGCGGTGGCTGCCATGTGCCGAGACAGAGGCAGGGGGTGTGGGACTGTGCTGAGCAATGGCAGGGGAGGTGGAGCTCAGATGGGGCCCTGTTCTAGAGAAGTCGGCCGTCCAGCTGGGGTGGGTACAGGGCCGTGCTGGGCGGAGGGGACCAATGCGCTGCTGACAGCGATGGGGGTGGGCAGGATGCTGGGGAGGGAGAGGTCTCCCCATGAGGTACCTCTGGGGTGAAGCTCAAGTCCTCCACTTGGCAAAGAAGTTTCTGGAAGTGGATGGAGAACAGGCAAACGCAGAGCAAGGGTGGCCAAGAGCAGTGAAGGGCACCAGGGCACAGAGGTCTTTGGTCACCTCTCCCCCGAATCTAGACTTTCCCTGGCTGTGGGTCCTTACAGGAGCCTGGGTGGGCTCAGGCCTGGGCACGGGGTTCAGCTGCCAGTGCAGTGCCTGGGAGAAACCCACAGACAGCTTGGCACTGTCGGGTAGAAAAATGACAGTAACATCAACAGGGCCGCGGGTCGACAAATCACAGGGTTCTGCTACCATGGCAACAGAGCAAGAGGGCAACCCTGAAATCGGAGGGGAGAAAGAGAAGCTGGCCAAAGGTCCAGGAGAAATCAGAAATCACCGAGGCGGTGGATCCGAGCTGGCTTCGGAGGCGCTGGGGGGCTCTGGGCGGGACTCACCCCCTCTGCAGCCCCAGCTTCCTCATGCATGGCCCCCCCAGGGACGCTGTGTGGAGAACCACGGCCCCGGGAGCTCTGGAATGTGCTGGGCTTCCATGGACAGAGCTTTCGACAGCAGACACCCGTGAGAAGAAGCATCAGGTCTAGGGCAGCACCACTCAGGCTGCACAGGGTTTATCTTGAGTGGTCTGGGGCAGTAGCGGGTGGGTTCCCTTTTCCAGTCTCCTGACTCAGGCTGGCTCCAGACCTACAGACCTCTCCCCACCGCTGCCGGAGCCTGGGCGCCCCCCGATATATTCTGTGCCTACTAACAGCTCCAGTGGAGGCGGCAGGCAGTCTGCATCCCTGGCCTGCTCGTGGGCACAGCACTTGTCCACCTGTCCTAGCTCTAGGCCTTCCCCCAAGCTCTGCCTGACTCCCCCGCTCCCCTGCCTGGTATCCTGGGCCCTACCCATGATTCTATCGTGAGTCCACATCTGCAGGGAGGGTAGACATCCCTCGTTCTACCTGGGAAAGCCGGCAAAACCATACAGAGCTGAGCAGGTGCTGGAAGGTATGGTGGGGTGGTGGGCAAGAGGGTGGTTAGTGGTGTGGCATCAACCTGCTAGGTAACTTGGGTGAGTTACACAACATCTCTAGGTCTCTGCTTCCACAAGTTAATATGGGGTTAGCGGGGTGAGGCTTAAATGGCTTCACACACACCAGGTATCACCCTGACATCACCATTCGTTACATCACCGTTGCTACTGTTAACCTCACCCCAGGCTGCCTCCGGCTCAGGGCCCAGCTAGCCAAGGACAGTTCTTCCTGGCACTGACGTCCCATCTGGATTTGTACATCTTGGTGGTGGGTGTGGTGGAGCTGCCTCAGGATGGAGTGTGGTGGCAGGTGCTCTGTTGTCACTGTGCACTGTGGCTGGGGACCAGATGCCACTTCCTCTCTGGACAGAGCTGGTTTGCCCGAGGGAACTTGGTTCCTGTCTGCTTGGCCATGGCACAGCCTGTGTTGGGTCCATCCCCTTTGCCAGCTCTAGCTGTGCCCGTCTGGAGCCCTGTGTCCTCCCAGGATGGATGTGCAAAGCGGGAGAAGGAGGGGCGTGGCCCTACATCTGTTTCCTCAATGACAGTCTGCTCACTGTGCCGATTGCCTAACTTCCGACATGGACGAGGGGACCTTCTGTCTGCCTTGAGGTCAATGCGACTGGGCGTCTCATTTGCTGGACAACTTGGGAGGGACATAAACTGCTGTCCCCAGTGTGCACAATGACCACTTCCTGTTTAAGAATCCCCACGCAGAGACCTTCCTAACTGCATCGTGGGAGAAACGGAGACCATCACTTGCTCAGGAGGATCGGCTGCATGTGTAGACGTGATACCCAAACAGTGAGCCCTGGACAGCACAGCCCTCTCCCACGTTTCAGCTGCTCTAAGAAAAAGTCAACTGGGTGACAGCACCCAAGGGACCCTGCCTGGCTTAAGCTGGAAAATCCCAGGAAGACCACTGAGGGTTCTGGGCAAAGCTCAGTACAACAGAATTTCGATTTACTCTTAACAGTAGTTGGATGGGAGGTTCCTTATTTGAACAACAATGATCTACCACTCTTCAATTTGCAAACTTCAGAGTAACTGGAAGACGCTCCTAGAATGCTACTTCCCTAGGAAGTAGTAGACCTCGGAGAAGGGCGAGAGAAACAGGGGACTTAGACCTGGCTCTTCCATGGTGTAGGAGAGCGTGGTCTTCTAAACAGTCCCACGCTTCCCCGATCTCTGCACATGTCGGTCAGAGTATTAAACTGTTTCACCATATCTTATGGGCGGCTCTCCCAAAACGACACATCTCAAGTGGAAGGCAAGGGAACGAAGGGGCGGGGAGGTGTCTGGGAACCGCGGCCTGCAGGTGCCGCAGGTCCCCTTCCACCACGCCCCTGCCCCAGCGGCTTACCTCCATGCTGTACCGCTCCACCGTCCTCCGCAGGGGGTCCACAGCCTGCCAGCAGATCAGGATGCACAGGTCGATCAGCAGCATGCCCCCCACGATCACCAGCAGCTTCTGGTCCTTGATGATCTGCAGAGAGACCAGGGACAGAGCTGAGCAGGCGGGGGCGGGGCTCCCCGGCAGGACCCACAGGATGAACCCCACCAACTGCTGTGCTTGGCATTCAAGGCCTTCCCTGAGCCTGGCCAATCACTCCCCAAAGAGACACATGTACTTGGTTAACATTTGGCCACTCGTGGTCCCTGGTTGAGCTGATTTTCACATTTCAGAACTTTGCAGGTGTTGGTTTTTTTGTCTGAAATATGCTCTTATTTATTTTTTAAGTTAAAGATTTATTTATTTGAAAGGCAGAGTGACGGGGAGGGGTGGAGAGCTCTTCCAACTGCTGGTTCACTCCCCAAATGGCCTCAACAGCTAGGACTAGGGCAGGCTCAAGCCAGGAGCCAGGGACTCCATCTGGGTCTGCCACAAGCACGGCAGGAACTCCGGTACTTGATGCTCTTATTTCTGATAGGTAAACTTGCGATGATCATTAAAGACCCAGATCAATGGTCACCTCTTCCATGAAGTCTCCTTGACCTTGAACTCTCACAACAGAACCAATTACTCCCATTCATTGCACTTTGTCCACACAAGTAATTATCAGGTGCAACTGTAGCAGTGACAACAATGGGAGCTAACACTTTGCAGGCTTACTCTGTGCCTGCTCTTGCTGGTTGTTTCACATGGATCATCTCATATAAAGGCAGGCACTGTGATTATTCCCTTGTTTTACATTTAGTTGAGAGGCAGAGAGGGAAAGAGGGAGGGAGGAAGGGAAGGAGAGAGAGAGAGAAGAGAAAAGAGAGGGATGGGAGGCAGGGAGGGAGAGAGCAAGCGAGTGAGTGAGCACACACTCCCATCTGCTGGCCTACTCCCTTAATGTCAGCAACAGCCAGGGCCAGGGCTAAAGCCAGAAGCTAGGAATTCAATCCAGGTCTCCCACGTGGTTGGCAGGAACCCAGTTAATTACTTGAGCCATCATCTGCTGTCTCCCAGGCTCTGCACTGGCTGGAAGCTGGGGTCAGGAGCCAGAGGCAGGAATCCAGGCACTCTAACGTGGGACACGGCACAATGCCTGCTCCCTATTCTTCCCATTTTACAGGCGACGAAACTGAGGCTTGTGGGGGCTGTAAGTAACTCGCTCAGTGCCATAAAGCTAGTACGAAGTGGAGCAGATCTGGACCAAGCTCCTGCTTTGTTTCGACATTTACAGCACTGATCAGAGGCGTGTTAAGCTGCGTACGTGTTTGTCCTCCGAAGTAAGCTGGGGAGCCATGGCCAGAAGGGAGGCCTGTTTTATCTGCCTGCGTTCTCTTAGCACCTAACAGCCCCTGGCATGCAGTCAGTACTCAAAAGTCCGGGGGACAGGATCAAAGAGAAGGGATATAAAAAGAAGGAACGCAGCTCTCGCCGCTCTGCAGCCTGGGGTGTTGGTATGATGCTGTTAGCTGCCTGCCCCTCTTTACCGCTGTGGACCCAGATTGGCCTGGGGACAAATGCGGTGAGCACCAAAGCTCACTTGCATCTTGTTTGCCGCACGGTCGGGTACCTATGACCTCCCCCCAACCCCCAACTAACAAGAGCTAACGTGATGAGGCGGCTCTGGAAGACTCCCAGAAAAACAAACAAGACCGAAGCAGGGGCTTAAGAAATATCACCAGGTCTGGCGTTTAACGATTCAAGTCGTTTTTTAAAGGAGAAATGGAAACTCCAAGGGCGCCTCTCTGTGGCCAAGAGTGAAAAAGCAGGAGAAGAACAGCGTTCCAGAGTTGCTGCCCAGGACGCCTCATCCACCAAAACCACTCCCCCTGGGGGCGGGCACTGGCAAAGGCCCTACCTGGAGATTTTCTGGGAGGACCCAGGGAGTGGCTGCCTCCTGGAAGCCTGGCTCGCCCCTCCCCCTCGCACTCTGGGGAGAAACACAAAAGGAACAACACAGGGGAGTTGGACTCAAAGGGTGGTGGGAGGGGCTTCTCTACCTGGCGCCCCAAGCATTTGCCCGTGCTGTCCTTCCCCGCCTTTCTGCTGGCCGCTGCTAAGCTCTTCCATGCGTGGGGCACGGCTGCCCATGAAAGATGGGCACCAGAATTTCCCTCTTGTAAGTGGGCTAAAGCAAGGGCCTTCCAATCTTCAGGCTCAAGTTGGCACAGGAAGTGGGATTTGGAAGGATGTGGACTTACGAGGGCCTGGGTTAGAGTCCACAGCTGCCTAAGTGGCTTAGGCAAATTATTTCCTTTCTCTCATGGTGCACTTCTCATTTGTAAAATGGCCAGGCTTAGGGTGGGGGCAGCATGGAGGCACACATATCATTCTCTTAGTGTAAAGGAGAGAATTACAAAACTTCATTCTAATCCCAGTTTTTGCCAAATGTGGTATTTGGCCAGTTGTTTAACTTTGCTAGGCTTCCATTTCCTTCTTTATAAATGGGTTCAGAGATCTCTGCATTGCAAGGCTGGTATAAAAACGACATGAGATGATGTGTGGAGAGCACCTCGTACGGCGTCTGACAGAGAGCAGATGCTCAATGAATGGAGCCTGTGTGCTCCCGTTTTGACAGTGAGTCTGTGTTTATGTGCAGGATAGTGACATCTAGGGGCAAAGTGTGGCATTGCACTCCAGCTCTACTAGACTCTGGCCCAATCATCACACCTAGATGGGTTCATGGTGGGAACGTCTAGAGAGCAAGAGGAGGCCATGGGTGGGGCTGGCGCTGTGGCTCACTTGGTTAATCCCCCGTCTGTGGTGCCGGCATCCCATATGGGCACCAGTTTCTAGTCCTGGTTGCCCCTCTTCCAGGCCAGCTCTCTGCTGTGGCCCGGGAAGGCAGTGGAGGATGGCCCAAGTGCTTGGGCCCTGCACCCGCATGGGAGACCAGGAGGAAGCACCTGGCTCCTGGCTTCGGATCAGCACAGCACTGGCCGTAGCAGCCATTTGGGGGGGTGGGGGGCGAACCAATGAACCAAAGGAAGGAAGTCCTTTCTCTCTGTCTCTCTCCCTCTGTCTATAACACTACCTTTCCAAAAAACAAAAACAAAAACAAAAACAAAAAAACAAGAGGAGGCCACATGTGATTGGCACAATTCCCAAAGCCTGGTGCTTGCCCAGTGCTGTGACTCAGTGGGTTCAGACTAAGCAGCTATGAATCGTATCCCACTTGGTTGATGCAGAACTATTTCTTGAGTGCCTCCTCTAGGGATACAGCAGTGGACAAGACATACACCTCCTGCCTTCAGGGAGCAGGCGTCTCGTTGGGGGAGGGGAACAGTGCATAATTAAGCAGGCACATTCATGCACAAACACCATACAACGTCAGGGGACAGGATTTAAAATCATGTTAAATAACAAAAACAGAGAGCAGGAAAGAAAAACCCAGCGCGGCTGTGCCCATACATTCGGAGCTCCATACAACACCTGCCTGAGGCCAGGCCATCTCTAGGCTCACCTCAGCTCCTCTGGCTTCCTTCCGTCCTTAAAATCTGCTTAGAGCAGCACTCACTAATGCTGCCACACAGGGTTGCTTTCTGAGGCCGGGAGGCTGCGGGAGCTCAGAGAGCTTGGAGCGCAGTGCCGATGAAGCCCCTGGTTCTGGCATCAGAGCTGAGTTGGAAAGCTGCTCACTAGGGGCTGGCACTGCCGTGTATCGGGTTAAGCTGCCACCTGCTATGCCAGCATCCCATACAGGCACCGAACTGAAGTCTCGGCTGCTCCACTTCCAATCCAGTGCCTGCTAATGTGCCCAGGGAAAGCAGAAGATGAGATGGCCCAAGTGTTTGGGTTTCCATGTGGGAGATCTGGATGAAGCTCCCAGCTCCTGGCTTGGGTCTGGTCTAATCCTAGCCATTGGGGCCATTTGGGGGGAATGAATGGAAGATCTCTTTCTTTCTAACTCTCCTTTCAAATAAATAATCTTTTTTTTTTTTTTGACAGGCAGAGTGGACAGTGAGAGAGAGAGACAGAGAGAAAGGGTCTTCCTTTGCCGTTGGTTCACCCTCCAATGGCCACCATGGCTGGTGCACCGCGCTGATCCGAAGCCAGGAGCCAGGTGCTTTTCCAAGGACTTGGGCCATCCTCCACTGCACTCCCGGGCCATAGCAGAGAGCTGGACTGGAAGAGGGGCAACCGGGACAGAATCCGGTGCCCCGACTGGGACTAGAACCCTGTGTGCCAGCGCCGCAGGTGGAGGATTAGCCTATTGAGCCGCGACACTGGCCATGAATCTTTTAAAAAAGAATGTTGCTAACTAGTTGGATGCTCTTGGCTAACTCCCCTGGTCCCTCTGAGCCAGGTTTCATGTTGACAAAAGCAGGGCAATGATCATATGAGCCACAGTAGAGTGCCTGAGCCTGCTTCCCATCACTGTCCACAGACGCCAGCTGTTATTACTGAACGTCCCAGCCCACTGATGTTTGGAGCAGGGATCAGCAAACTCCAGCTCTGCCCCATCGCTTGTTTGTGTGAATGAGTCTCAGGGGTGTGCAGCCCGTTCATTAGCATGTGATCCACAGCTGCTTCTGCCCTCGACAAGCAGGGTTCAGACGTTGCAACAGAGGCAGCAGAGCCCACAGAACCTCACCAATTTACTGTCCGCCCCTTCACAGAATAAAACTTGGCTGACCTCTGGTTTAGAGAAAAGGGCATTCCTTTGTTCCTTCCAAAACTTTTGGAGACTTTTCAGCCTTCTACCAGGGCTGACTCACGGCTCCAGGAAATACCATTCAGGGAAGGTGGCATGGGGATGGTGCCCCAGGGGTGCACCACTCAGCAGCCCTGTGCACCTGTCTACACCCAGGTCACTGACACCCCAGGCAGCTGCTAACAGCCCTCCGTTGGCATCTCCTGCAGCTGGGCCCACCTGGAAGCCCGAGGGAGGCCTCACGTCACTGTCTGCAGCAGGACCAAGGCCTGCTGGTCCTCACAGAGCTCCCGCCCCCTGGCGTGCCAGCTCTCGTCCCCAAGTCCCTGCTCACATCGCAACGTTTCACTTTGCTCCTAGGAGGGGCAGAATAGAGATGATCACAAGCTTCTCCATTCAGGGTTTTACAATTGGCCTTTAGAAAAAGGACGGCACTATGCTATGTAGCTATCGGGTCTGGGAGCACAAAGCCACCGTGTGTCAAAGCTTCCTTTAATAGGTTCCTTTTCCCTTAATGTCTTCAAAAATGAGACCACACAGGGTCAAGTTTGTGTCTGTGTTTGGGGAGGAGAGGCCATTGTGGGTGGATGAGAAGGTGGGAGCCAAGGAGAGAAGGAAGAGACAAAAAGACTATATATATATATATATATACACACACACACACATATACACACACACATTCACACACGTATGTATATATGTATATATATGATTGCATTTGCAAGTGTATGGAAATCTAGCATATATGTCAGATATTAAGTTAAGGGCTCACTAAAATAAAGTCTAAATTTCTTTAGAAGAGACTCAGGCACAGAAGGGACATATATTCAGCTGACCTAAGGTTCATAGAGGAGCCAAATTTACAGAGACAGACTGGACAGTGGTGGCGGCCAGGGCTGGGGCCGGGGGACCAGGGTGTTAGCATCTAATGAGTGAGCAGCTCCAGCCAGGGGAGATGAGAAGGCTCTGGGGACAACGGTGGTGAAGGTGGCACAACAGGAACGCACGTTGGGAGTGGCCAGCACCTCTGAGTGCGGCTCTGTCATGAAACCAGCGAAGGCCAAGGAACAACACACCATTCCAGGGTGAGAAACGCCTGGGGCTGCCCCAGGCTTCCCAGGTATTCCACGAGCAGGTGTACAGTGCTGTGGAGGCGGGAAGGTGGAGAGAGGAGGGTGTACCTCACGTGGGCCAGCTCTGCCAGGGGACTGGGCCATGGGCCCCAGTAGTTAAGGCGCCGGCATTCCACATGGGAGTGCCTGGGTTCCAGTCCCAGGTCCGGCTCCTGCTCCAGCTTCCTGTCAGTGCAGACCCTGGGAGGCAGCGGGTGCTGCTCTCCTCACTGGGTTCTCGCCACCCACGTGGGAGACCTGGGTTGAGTTTGCAGCTCCCAGCTAGGGTTCTAGCTTGGGGCTGTTGCTAGCATTTCTACAGTGAACCGGCAGATGGGAGATCTCTCTCTTTTCTCTCTGTCCCTCGAAACAAAAATGAAAAAACTGGACCGCTCTCCGAGATTTCAGTATTTCATATAACCCAGGTGGTTTTCACTGCTGCTTTGTTCTATTGGCTTTTCTAACTGTGTTATTAGATACATCCACAAAAGAGTCCCCATTTTAGTTGTTTTTAAGTGGCTGGCTCGTGGCATTAACTGAAGGGAGATGACCTTGGGCAGCTGTTGTCCCACGAGGTCCCTGTCTTCCCCCGCTCTGACCTGCCAGCCCTGCTCCTGCATAGCGGCTGTCGCCCACAGGCCCCGCGCCAGCTCTGAAGTCACTGTCACACGTGCGTCACCTCCCCCACTGTGCTCCCCTCACACTGACGTCATCTTCCTCTGGGTCCCCAGGACGGAGCTGCCATCCTCCCACGTCACTCGGTCCTCTAACCTCGCACCCTTTGGGAGCCCTGCTGATCTCCTCCCGTCCCTGACACCACCACTCTTAAAAAAAGGAAAACTGTGTAAAATAGTGAAAAACAGAAACGCAAAAAGGAAGAGTAAAAAGGAAAAAACAAGCAAAAACTGGAAAAGAAAAGAAAAAAAGTCAATGAAAAAGAACGCATTACAACACAGTGCAGACAAGGGTGCGCATCCGGCCTGTTTAGGACCCGAGTGCTGTATCAGGGTGCCGAGGTTTGAGGCCCAGCTCTGCCTTGATTCAGGCTTCCTGCTACTGTGCATCCTGGGGGGCAGCAGGTGGTGGCTCAAGTCCTTGAGTCCCTGCCCCCCATGTGAAAGACCCGGATGCTGCTCCCAGCTCCTGGCTTTGGCCTGGCCCAGCCCTGGATGTTGTGGGCATTTGGGGAGTGAACTGGTGGAAGGAAGATTTCTCTCTCTGCTTTTCAGATAAGTAAATAAAATTGTAAGAAAAAATAGAAGGGAAAGAAGTTGAAAAAGACAATATTTTGAAAAAGCAGGTGGGGCTTGTTTCTCAGAAAAACCCCTTCCCTGGACGCCTGTGCCCCCAACAAGCCTCGGAGCCCCCAGAGTCTGCCCAGACCTGGAGCGCGGCGAGGGGTCCCCAGGGGTCTGCAGGGGCCAGGCAGGGCAGCGGGAAGCGAGCCAAGCACTTCTCCTCGGGGGTCACAGTACCCTCCGGCCCACATGGCGCTCCCGGACACCTGGACGCCGCGGCTGTCCCTAGCACACATTGCTGATGGCTGCTCCCGCTCAGAAGCCATACGGGGGGCAGCACATAAAGGCCGGGTCTGTATCACAGATGGCAACATGGGGGAGTCACACTGAGCTATACTCCGGGGCGTCGCCGCTGTGATGATGCTTCCAAACCCGGAAGTGGTGGTGCATCCGTCACCAGGGCTGCAGAGCAGGAGGGCCCGGATGTCACCCAGACCACGCCTCTCAGCCTGGCTTGCTCCAGCCTCGCTGCGGGGCTGGGTTCTACCTGACTTCCTTCCTCACTCCGCAGGGCTGAGCTGGGGCCGGAGCTTCGCCAGCCTGCACCCTGAGCATCTCGGCCCTAGACCAGGGCTCTCCAAACGCTGGCTGTGAGCAGCTTCGCCTGGGAAAGTCTGGAAGACCGCCGATGCTCGGCCCTGGCCTCCGAGATTTGGATCTGCTTGGCCTGGGCTGGGTTCCTTTTGATAAGCTCCCTTGGGATTGCATTGTACATTCAGTGCTGAGATCAGGGGTCGCCAAGTGTCTCCTACAGCAGGCACTTGTTGCACATGCTGCTGGGGCCCGGCGGTGGGGGAGATTCAGACTCCTCCCTCCCTCTGAATGCAACCCGGAGTCTTCTCAAGGTGGTCTGCAGGTGGGGCATGGGCAGAGAAGGTGGGGCACTGGCAGAGAAGGTGGGACACGCCCCAGACAAACTGGAGAGGGCAGGGGGCTGCAGCTCCGGAAGCAGCTCCCACAGGGTGGGGGGTGTGGGGGCTGAGAGGTGACAGATGCCATTGGCACCAGGCAGGTGCTCACTGAATTGCCACTTAGGAAACAGTACTATTGCAGGATGTCTCCATTCTACAGATAAAGACACTGAGGTCAGTGGCCCTGCAGGGACTGTTCTGCCTGCTGGGCTCAGTGTTGTGCACCACAGGTCAAAAGGTGGCAAAAACCCCATTCATTGGAGAAACCCAGATGGACAGACTGCACGTTCCTAAGAGGGTGAGCCCAGGTTGGGGGGCCTGCGAGTGGTCCACGCCCACTCAGGGGCTCACAGAGGGCTTGTGTACGGGGTGGGTAGGTGGAGCAGGCATAGCAAAGCAGCGTGAATTTGGCCGGCACCAGAAACAGAAGGGGCGTGGTTACCTTCTTCTTCATCTTCACATTTTTGAAGATGGCGTGCACCCTCCACGTCTTGGCAAACATGGCTCCGAAGGCGGTTGTGTAGCCCACAGTGAGAATCCAGGTCCTGACCTAGAGGCCATGAGGAAACAGAAGCAGTCATGTCCCTGTGATACACGGAGCTGGTAGGACCCGAGATCACCCAGCAGGGCGACCAGGATGGCGGAGGGAGGGGGACAGAGTGTTCAGTGTCCCACCCCAAGGACATCTGGTTGTAGCCCTCGCTCGCCAGAGCCAGCGTGGTGGGCACAGAGGGGTGGGAGAATCCAGTCCTCCCTTCAAGGCACCCATGGCTCAGAGCGAGCCAGGCACAGGGGCATGGGCAAGGGGAAGAACCAGTGCCCTGGCCTTCGCGGCCGTCCCCTCCTCCTGCTGCCCAGCCTCTCCCACAACCTGCAGGCCACGTGCTTGCTACCACCCGGTGTGACCACAGGAGTCTGCTCACTCAGCACCAGGCCAGCCAGGCAGCTGAGCCCACATAGCGGCTTTGGGTCCCTGCTCAGGACTAAGGCCCTGGCCAGCTCTCACCTGTTCCCCAGGGAAAGGCAGCCCTACAGCAGCCTACGACCCAGTCCCTGCAGGCTGGGCTGAGCCGGCCATCACTGGTTAGGCCTTGGGGGCTCCAGCTTGTCCAGTCCCTGTGGCCATCACTCCCTGGCTGCGCTGGACACTCTCTAATCCCCGGGAGATGCACAGATCTCCAGGCTGGGCCCTGGGCGAGTTCTGGGGCCTCCTGCTCATGGGGAAACAAAAGCCATGTGCGCCAGGAGCTCCAGCTGTAGGTGTTGGCCTCTCCTTGCTCTCTCTCTCAGCCTTGCTGGGCTGAATTTCTTGCTCCGCTAAACACACACAGACAGCGGGCAAAGGGAGGCAGCTGGGCAGCAGTGGACAGGTCAGGCTGGCTAGACGTGGGTTCGACAGCCCATTCTAGGCCAGGCTGCCATGAGCAGTTAGGAAGTCCCCAGACACGTTCCCAGCCCGGCCCCTGCCTTCCCAGCAACGCAGCTCCCTGGCTTGCAGGGACAGCACCCTTCCCACCTCCATGCGGGTCGCTGAGCAGATGGCACAGCGACCCCCAGAGGCGAAAGGAGCACAGCACCGCCACTGTGATTGCTCGGAAATGCGTGGGAGGTGGGAGTGCCCACGCGGCACAGGCGAGCAGTGAGCCTTCGGCTTTCTTCTTATTTGGTTTGCATTTCAAAAACAAGGGGAGAATGAACCCCAGTGCTTCAGAGAGGGCATGGGATGGTCACATTAGCGCACATCTCATAACATAAAAATGCGGGAGAAACAGCGGGGTTGGGGAAGCAGCAGTCACTGGGACTTCAGACCTGGCCTCGTGCAGTGGCCAGGTCACACGTTCTCAGTGTCAGGGCCGCCTGGGACCTTCCAGACACCCTCCGTCATTCACTTGTTCACCCGTTCATTCCACAAGTATCCTCAGGCTAGGGACAATGTACAGAATAAAACAAGGGTGAGTTTTGGGAGCCGTCAGGGGAGTGAGGAAATCACTTTGCAGATGGAGAAACTGAGGCCTAGAATTTTAAGATGTTTCCTGTACTCTGGCCACACAGCTCTGGAGTGAGCCTGGAACTCAGTGCCTTGTCCTGGACCAGCCCCCAGCCACCACATCCACTGTCCCCTCTTCCCATAGAATCTCCTTAACCCAAGGCAGGTTCATCCATGCCTGGGAGCCAGCTGTGTGAGGGCCAGGCTCAGCTGGCCGCAGGTCACTCTCCCAGGGGGTATCACAGTGCACTTTAAGGATGAGTTGGTTGACACGGCCATTAAGATCAATGGTCTACAAGGGTTTTGATGATGGTTGCCTACCAGAAAAACAACTTTAAACACACACGCACAGGGCCTTCGAAAAGTTCACATCAAATGTATGTTGTGAACAAACTATGCATGGACTGCAAAATGTTTTTGTGCCATAACAGACTTATCCTGTAATCCCATTTTTCCATACACTTTTTGTCTAGAACATGGACATTTCAAAAGGATGGGAAAATAGCCCCCATTTTGTCTCATTATGTGCCTGACCAAGGTCTCCTCTTTCAAGGAGAAGTGTCACTCCAATGTGTTTAGCATGATTAATATTTGCTCTGGCTTCTGTCTCCTTTAAAACAATCATTTCCTGGCCACTTGTCTATTTTGTGAGGGCTAAATTCACAAAGACTCAACAATACAAGTTAATTAATTTAGTCTGGGCATAATACTGTAAATGCAAACTGGCATCTGGAGATGGCGGTATATTGCCATGCACAGGGAGCAAAGAGCAGCTAGGAACGCCTGCCCAGGGAGGGTGCACACGGCCCACCCAAGACTGGTGCCCTCAGAAAGCCCTGCCTGAAAAGGTGGTGCTGGGCCCGTGTCTGGGAGCCGGGACTTGGGGTGTGCAGGCCACATGGTTTTGCTGAGCACCTGCTGGTCTCTTGCAAGTATGGAACTCAGTTCCTGGTAGGCAGGGGGTCCTCATGAGCAGCCCCCCGCAGCAAGCCTGGGCACTGAGACTCTAGTGGGCCTCCCTGGGAGCCAGCACTTCCCGCGTGTCATCACTGCACCCCGTGGAATGTCACTGCACCCTGTGGGATGTCACCGCACCCCATGAGATGTCACCACACCCTGTGGGATGTCACTGCACCCCGTGGGATGTCACTGCACCCCGTGGGACTCTGCTGGGCTCCCCTGCTTGATGTCCCGGGGCTGTAGCCCCAGGGGCCTTTTCCTGTTGATCTTGTTTTGCATTGTTCTGCTGTAGTAAAGTCACAGCTCTGAGTACGGCTGTGTGCCCAGGGAGTCACGGAACTGGGGGTTGTCTTGGGGACCCCCAACACATGCCCCATCACTGCCTGCCATAATCCACTGTGTCCTCAGGCGAGTCCCTGCCCTGGACTGCCAGACGCCCCCACTTAACCCTGGGCCCGGGGTCAGTCCTATCTTACATATCAGTGAAGTTCAATTTCTTCAGTTTTTATTTTCTACATAAAAAATAACAACAACAACAACAACAGATGAGTGCCATTATATGAGGGACTTCTAAACGCTCATGGAGAAATGAAGCCAAAAGACAGGTGTATTTTGGTATAGAAAGTTTTGAAATCCACGCATCATTTTTCATAGGACATGTTTCCACGAACCTTTTGGGGCGCCCTAGTGTCTTCTCCATACAAAAGGATCCAGCAGGATCCCCGGGACCCACTGGATCACCTTGCACGATCCTGGGTTGCTCACCTCCCATCTGGAGCCAGTTCTCGACAGTGGTGAGCTAACAGCAGACAAAGACCGTGAGAGAGGACAGAGGGACTCCCACCCCCAACCCCAGCCCCAGCCCGGCCGGCCACCCCAGGCCAGCTCTGCCCAGCGTCACTGCTGGGCGAGGCCTCTGCACAGGGATTGGAGTTCTTGCCCAACTGCTCCCCATGTATGTGGGATGGAAATGGAGTTGGGATCAGGCCCAGCCTCTCTCTCTCTGTGGATTATCACTCCACTCGCTGGCTCCCATTGCACTACCCATGCTGCTAACTCCCGTGTCCCTGTCCCAGCCCGCCTGTCTTCTGAGCTCCAGACCAGCATCTGCCACTGTCACTGGAGTCCGGGTGACACTTAGGGGATCCCATGAACCTTCACACTCCACAGCTAGAGTGGAGCTGTCAGCTGTTCCCCTGGACTGCTCTGCTACTCCTGACGCAGACGCTGGTGCCACCATGCACCTGCCACCCACGTTAGGGACCAGGCAGTCACCCAGGCTCTTGCCCTCCCCTCCCCAATTCAATCCAAGCCCGTCTCCCACAGCCTCTCCCCCTGCCCCAGCTCTGAGGGGTAGGTCTGCTTCTGAGCCCCACCTACACACCTGCAGGGACTCTGAGCCCTGCACTGGGGCTGCTCTGGGCCAGGGCGAGGGCTCCCTGTCTCCTGTTAGCACGCTCCCTCCCTCCCTCTCACCGTGGTGCCAGCTCATGTCTGACACCGCGCGCTCTAGGCTGGCATTGCAGCTGGGGCTCGGATTCGAGTCCCCCGCGTTGTCACGCACTATTGCTGTGAACCTGTGCCGGTCACATCCCCTCTCTGAGCCTCCTCTGTGAAATAGGGGCAGCAAGAACGGCTGTGGCTTTTGGACAGCGGTTGCGAGGATTAGGTGAAAGGCGGCCCGGCGAGTCCCCGGTTCTTGGCCAAGACCGGATTTCTGTTCTCACATTCCTGCCGCCCCTCACCAGCCCATAGCAGGCGCCCGCAGCTGCTCTCCCTGCCTCTCCCCTCATCCATCTGCTGCTCCCCATTGCTCTTCAGCAACCAAGTCTCCCCAGGCTTAATCCCTCCCTGTCCCCCAAAGCCCTCAGGTTCAATTCCAAATTCTTAGCAGAGAGTGGCACACCCACGCCAAGCAACACCACAGCATGCTGGCTCAGGGCGCCGGGCCTGGATCAGGGACTTCCCGTGCCCAGCCTCGCCCTGTCTCCCTCACTAGTGGGCCACCTGCTCTGGAAGCACCCCTGGCCTGCAGGGCGGTCCCAGCCTCCTCCTCCTCCTCACATCACCTGCCCTTGAGCTGTGCTGCCCGTGCCTGGATGCCATGTCCACCGTCGGCCTCTCCCCTGCCTGTATGTCTCCAGAGGAGCCGACCAGGCTGTGCAGGCTGGCTTAGGAGGTAATGAGTTCTTTGTCACCAGACACATGCCAACTGAGCTGGGTGAGCACATGAAAGGGAGACCACAGAGGAGACAGAGCTGCAGTAATGATAGCAAAAAAGGGCTGAGCTTATGGCTTCAAGGGCCCAGCCGTGGAAATATGCTGATAAGTAGTGAGCTCCCCGTCACCCCACCTACTCGAGCTAGGCTTGGAGAGCCCCTTGCCAGGAGGCTGAGCGGTCATTTCCTGCTTGGAGGGGGTTGCACTGGCTGCCTTGCCCACTCCCTCCCTTCTTGGTGGCTCTGTGAGGCCAGAAGACCTAGAAGGCTCTGAGGGGCCCCAGGGATTCTGGTCCCCATGTCATCTCTACCGTGTCACCAACACAAGACAAGCAGTGTGTCACCTCTGCTCCCCAGGGCTGCGACATGGTCACCCTTCAGATG